TCCTGCCATCTATTAAAACTGTCCCCATTTCATTTTAATTTGGGAACACAAATGTAAGAATTGTTCAGAATTGGTTTAGGGTAAGCTTTGAGTACTTAGGTAAAAATGGAGAATTGAAAAACTGCAAGAACAGGGAAAAGTCAGATGAAATCAAGGTTTCACTACTACGACTGGAAGGGGAGTTGATTGGTTAGAAGTTTTGTTCACATCATAAAAGGGAAGAAATAGGCATGGTGATGAGCACCAGCCTCTCCACTGAAGCCAAACTGGCCCTGGAGTGCTCTCAGCCAGCTCTTTGCCATCTTCTGCCTGGATGGCATCTTTTCTTCCTGCTCTTATGCCCCTCCTGTTGCTCCAAGCCTCTGTCGCATGACTCTTCTTTGTGGTAAGACCTGTGTAGCACCAGCTCTGTGATGTGCAAATGTGCTCAGAGCTGGACCCTTCCCAGGGCTTTGCAGGACAAATGCTGATGAGCACAAACAGTGTCTGGGCCAGCAGGCACTTGAGTTAATTAGACTGCACTTTCACTGGGAAGCAAACCTGTTCTCCTGCCCTGGGACAAGGCTCTCCTCTTGTCCCTGTGGATCGTGGTGTCTGCCACAGCGTGGAGCTGACGGGGTCAGACATGTACAGCCAGAGATTAACGTACGCTACGTGCAGTCCTGCTGCTGGGCAGCTGCGGAGCAGCAACCTCTCCCGTGGGCAGGAGCCAGTATTTGGAGCCTGGGGCACGGGAAGGCAGGATGGGGAGGGTGAGCTCTGGCTGCAGTGATGTCTGTGGGGAACAAGGAACTGACGGGACGTTCTTCAGTAATTTATTTTTTTTTTGCTTCATAGGAGTTGAAAACTCCCTGGTGGCCCATGATATGGTGTTTGAGATGATCCGGGCTCCCTGGAGGCCAGAGCAGCAGATAGAGCGGCCACGACTCACCAAGAAAATCCTGGACACAGAGGACCAGGCTGCCTTCCGGCTCCAGTCAAAGATGCCCAGATACATCTACTTTGCGGCCAATAGCAAGAACAAGTGGGGCCACCAGCGTGGTTACAGGATCCAGATCACCAGTTTTGCAGGCGACCATGTCCCTGAAGCCAGCTCCATGGAGAGGGCCATCAGCTGGGCAAGGTCAGTCTGTTCTGATGGGCATGGCAGGTTCTCAGGGATGCTCAAAGTCTCTCTGGGGAGCTGGCTTTTAGCCCTGCCCTGCCTCAGGGAGCTGCTCCTGACTCTTCTCCTAACCTCAGGTACCAGCTGGCTGTCACCCGGCGGAAGGAGGAGGAGCCCACCAGCACCAGCATCTACAACCAGAATGACCCCTGGACACCAACTGTTGCCTTCGCCGACTTCATCAACAACGAGACCATCACCAACGAGGTGAGCTGGGGTCCCGAGGCAGAGCAGAATCTTGAGAGCTGCCCCAGGGGCTGAGTGATCCTGGCATCTCCCCCAGGACAGCAGGGTGACCCCGGTATTGCCCGTGGCACAGCAGGTGCAGCTGGAAGAGCAGCAGCCCTGGGGAATGAGAATAGTGGGTTTGAGCATCCCCTTTTCTGTGTGTCTGCTTGGTGCTTTGGTCAGAATGTGTATATTGGTGTGCAGAGCTCTTTTCTCCTGATGAAGAAATGCTGGCGAAATGTCAGGAAAATCTCTGTGAGGCCAGGGCTTGGCTGTGGGGGTCAGGGCAAGGGCCCTTCCACTGGGTGGGTGTCTGCAGCTATGGCTGAGGGCAGGTCTTCGGGGAAAGGAAGGGGATCTTGCCCAGGCCAGGGGAGCTTGGCATATCAGAACATAGCCAGGCTTGTGCCTGTGGAGGTCCCCTCCTGCTCTCCTGTAACTTTCTATGTCCCCTGTGCAGATTTCAGTCACTGCAGACTTCAGAAATAACCAGACTTGTGGCTCTTCCCTACCCAGGACCTGGTTGCCTGGATAACTGCTGGTTTCCTTCACATCCCACACTCTGAGGATATTCCTAACACTGTGACGGTGGGAAACTCGGTCGGCTTTCTCCTGAGACCCTACAACTACTATGACCTGGACCCCTCCATATACTCTCATGATGGTGTATTTTTCACCAGCGAGCAGGACTTCACGACATGTGAAATCAACCCTATCGCATGCCTGCCCAAAACTGCCTCTTGTTTGCCAAACTTCCTCCCATTCACCTATGATGGCTTCCAGAACATGAGCAGGCTTTAACACTACAGGACAGTGTTAGGAGACACAGTCAGAGGCACCAGGTTGACTGTTCTCTCAGATTTTTGTTTTTTTAGTGAAGTTGTCTCTGTTTCCAGTTGTGCAATGGCTTAACTTTTTATCATTGCTTTTTTAATAGTGCTCTTTAAAAGGGAAGCATCATCTTCCTGGCATGAAGCCAGACAACAGTCTATGTTATCTCTGTTAATTACTGAATTTGAGCTGTTGCAGGAGGGAAGTGAAGAGAAAATCCTGTTCCTCTGCTGTAGAAGCAAGTGCTGTGTAGTGTCTATCTCAGGCCAAAAAAAAAAAGAAAATTATCCTGATCCAGCGCTCTCCTGTGTCTCGTTCTTGCAACTTTCAGCATTGTCTGCTGGGCAGGGTGCTGGGGCTGCTCCGTGTTTCCTGCACCCAGCCAGCAGCGAGGCTCTGGGCACAGGGAGGCTCCTGCCCGTCCCTCGCCGGGGTGGGCGCTGGGACCAAGCTCAGCGGCTGCCCGGGGTGAGGCTGGGGCAGAGCCAGCACCGGACGGGCTGCAGCTCTCGGGCACCCGCCTGCGGTGCAGTGAGAGGGGACCAGAGAGGACTGTAGCAAGGGGGGGTCCCACTGTTCCTGAGCCACCTCCATCCCCATGGATGGCTCTGCCCAAACCAGCTGATCCTCAGCCTCGTGGCGGCTCGTGGGTCTGTCACAGTGCGACAGGGCCAGATCCACAGTGCAGAAGCTGTGCAGCACGTCCAGTGCCACTGCCCCATGCCAGGACACTTGGGGGTGCTCTGGAGCCCTCGATCCCTCCTCATAGCCCATAGCCAAGGATCAGGAAGGACAGCTGCAGAAGCATTAAGTTTACTTTAAATTATGACTCACTGGGGGAAGCAGAGCCAAACTTAGTTGCCTTTTATGGTTTCCAGCAAATCCCAGGCACGTCTCAGAACATCCCCCTGTGCCCTCCTAGTAAGTTACTCTGGGTTATTCCCTGTTGAGAAAACAAGGGAAAAAAATCAAACCCAACCAAACCCAGCCTCTTCTGTTGTTGGATAGCTGGGAGAATTCTGCAGCTGGAAAGCCGCCCTGCTCAGCTGCAGGAGCAGCAGTGCCTCAGAACCAGCAGCAGACATGAACGTGAAGACAGTGCTCGTCCTGCTTGTTCTGGCTCTAGCCACGATCTTTGCCTTAGTCTGTGTGCTGCTGACCAGAGGAAGGGCCCCCAGCCCGTGCCAGCACCAGCCCCCGGCGCAGGAGGACACCGGTGATGGCCAGAGCCTGGTCTTTGCTGATCTGACCCCCGAGGAGATGGTGCAAGTGGTGCGGTACCTGCAGGGGCACCTCGGGGTGCAGCTGGTGGACGCCTCGCGTGCCAAGCCCTCTGACAGCTGCATCGCCTCGCTGGACGTGCAGGTCCCTGCCAAGGCGGAGGTGCTGCGGTTCCTGGATGAGGGGGGCGCTCGGCCCCCCCGGGAGGCGCTGGCTGTGCTGTACTTTGGGAACCAGCCGGACCCCAACGTCACCGAGTACGTGGTGGGTCCGCTGCCGACGCCGGCGTATCACCGGGACATCACGGTGCAGAAGTACGGGGGGAAGGTGCCCTACCACCGCAGACATGTCACCGGCAAGGAGTACATGGATATCAATGCTCTCATCCAGCGGGAGCTGAGAAAGGCACGGCGCTTCCTCGCTGCATGCTGCGAGTCCGACGGGACCGACCTGGCCATCCTCACCACGGCCCCACGGGGCTTCAAGTCTGGCGATCGCATGACCTGGTTTGTCCTCTTCCACAACGTGGCAGGCACTGGCTACTACCTCTCACCAGTGGGTTTGGAGGTGCTGGTGGAGCATGGGGACCTCCAGGTCCCCAGTGGCACAAAGTCTTCTACAACGGCCAGTACTTTGCCAGCACAGAGGATCTGGAGAATGCATTTGTGGCCAACATGCTGGAGGTTGTCAGGATCAAGAAGCCTCTGGCTGAAGTGGTGCTGGGCTCAATGAGACCCCGGCGCCCGCCTGGCTCCATGGGGCCACTGCAGTATGAGCCCCTGGGTCCCCGCTACAGTGTCCGGGATAACCATGTCACCTTCCAGGGCTGGAGCATCACCTTTGGCATGAACCCCAACTCTGGCCCACGCCTCTTTGACATCAGGTTCCGTGGGGAGAGGATTATCTATGAGCTGAGTCTCCAGGAAGCCTTAACTCTGTATGGCTCCAACTGCCCGGGAGGCATGTCGACTCGCTACCTCGATGGGAGCTTTGGCATCGGCAGGGTTGCCTACGAGCTTGTCCGTGGCCTTGACTGTCCCTAAACGGCGACCTACGTGGACCAGCACTACCTGGCAGAGTCAGAGACCCCCAAAACCAACCAAAACTCACTCTGCATCTTTGAGCATGATGCTGCCCTCCCTCTGCGACGCCACTTCTCTGACTCGCAGTCCTTTTACTATGGGGGGCTGCGGAAAAACACGCTGGTCATCCGTGCCATCTCCACCCTCATCAACTATGACTACATCTGGGACTTCATGTTCCACAGCAGCGGGGCCGTGGAGGTCCGGGTGCATGCCACTGGCTACATCAGCTCCTCCTTCTTCCATGGTCAAGGCACTGATTATGGCAACAGAGTTGGTCCACACACACTGGGGACGATGCACCTCCACCACATGCACTACAAGGTGGACCTGGATCTTGACGGTAGGTCTGGGTGCTTTTGTGCACAGCCACAGTTTGCTGTGGGCTGCAGCTCTGCCTGGGGTGCAGAGCTTGAGAGGTTTTTCCCTTTTGCTTCACAGGGCAGCTGAACTCTTTGGAGACCCAGGACATGGGTTATGAGCTTGTGAAAGATCCTTGGAGCATGCAGAACACCATGGAGCGGCTGTACCTCCGGAGGGAGAGGCTGGAGAGGGAGGATGAGGCAGCCTTCCCACTCCATGCCCCCCTGCCTCGCTACCTCTCCTTCACCAGCCCCAAGCCCAACAAGTGGGGGCATCCACGCAGCTATCGGCTCCAGATCACCAGCTCTGCTGGGGAGCACCTGCCTGCCAGCAGCTCCATGGAGAGGGCCATCAGCTGGGGCAGGTGGGTATTGGGGTGCCCCAGAGGCAGGGGTCTGCTGCAGCCCAGTGAGGCTGTGCTAGGCTGCAGGGAAGGGTTAAGCAGTGAACGTGCATATTTTTTGGCTCTGAAAATCCCTTTAAAAGTTGCTCAATGACATCTGTTCACAGTAGTTCACAGGCAGGAATCTGACCCCAGATAAGATGATTAGAGCAATCAGATGTGTTTGTCCCTGTGAGGATAACCAGGCTGTAAGATGAATTCCCAAGGGAAGCACTAGCATCCCCAGGTCTTGACATCTTCATGTAGGATGGGATGTATTTTGCAAAGTGCTTGGGATAAGTACAGAGCTGGTCTCTGCCATGGTGAAATTTAACAAATCATGTTCTGTGGGAGGCTGTAGGGGTTAAAAATGGCCGTGGCTGTGGTGAGTGTGTTAGGCAGCAGCATCAAGCCTGGATATGGTCATGTTTCCCAGTTGTGCTGGAGTCACCACAGGCAACAAGTTAACCCCAAAGTCCCTGCCAGCCCTATCCCTCCATAGCCCAGGAGAGTCTGTGTCCCCAAGTGTCCCTCCTGGGTTTGGGGATGAATCCTCATGCAGCCATGCCACAGTGCTCAGCTTTGAGCTGGCGGGGACAAGCCTCTCTGCTCCCCATACTGACAGGTACCAGCTGGCTGTCACCCGGCGGAAGGAGGAGGAGCCCACCAGCACCAGCATCTACAACCAGAATGACCCCTGGACACCAACTGTTGCCTTTGCTGACTTCATTAACAATGAGACCATCACCAATGAGGTGAGCTGGAGTCCCCCAGGCAGAGGGTGAAGCCTCTGGCAGGGTGGGGGCTAGGGCTGGAAGGGCTCTGATGGGTGCCTGGCTCCCCTCCTGCCTAGGATCTGGTTGCCTGGGTATCTGTGGGGTTCCTGCACATCCCCCATGCTGAAGATGTCCCCAACACGGTGACTGTGGGCAACGGCGTCGGCTTTTTCCTGAGGCCCTACAACTACTTTGATGAAGACCCCTCGGTGGACTCGCCCGACAGCATCTACTTCAGTGAGGCACAGGATGTGGGTGCATGTGGGACCAACCAGCTGGCCTGCCCACCCCCCTCCTGTGCCCCCCACCTGCCCCCCTTCCGCTACGGGGGGTTCCTCAACCTCAGTCTGGCCCCCACGCCCAAAC